TTCTCTGTATTTAGATCAAAGTGCTTAAAATAATTTTTAAGTACCACTTGTACTGGAATAAAAATATGAAATAAATCAAGGTTGAACCTGAACAAGAGATGTAGGAATGTAGGAATGCCTACTGAAAATGTAAATCATTCTGGAAGAAACCGAAGATTTGAATAAATAAGAGATGAACTGATTTTATAGTTTCGGAGAATCATATTGTTAACAATCCTGCCTCTTAAATGATCTCTGAACTTCATTAAAATCTGGCAGATCTCACTCCACCTTGGATAGAAATGGACAAGCAAAACCTAAAGTGACAGAAACTAAAAATCCTGGATTCCAGAAATGATGCTGAAGAAATTTTGAAGGATGAGACATACCAGCTTCCATACTGGGTCAGAAGCGCGCAGTCAAGGCAGGTCCAGAGAGAAAAGCAGAGGTCAAGAAAACAAGTTGGAGACTTCAGAAGACACACATGTACACAATTGATTGAATATTGACAAAGATGAAAAAACCTATTTATTCTATAAAGAATGATCTTTTAAACAAAATGTACAGGAACCATTGGAATGTGTGTGTGTGCGTATGTTTATGGTGTGTGTGAGTGTGTGTGGTGTGCACATTAGTGTGTGTGCTTGCGTGTGCATGTATGTGTATGTGGTGTACATGCATGCGTGTATGTATGGTGTGTGCACCTGCGTGCGCATGTGTATGTGTGTGAGTGTATATCTGGTGCATGTATGTGTGTGTGAATGTATGTGTGAGTATCTGTGTGTAGTATGTGTGCTTGTGTGTGCATGCATATGTATGTGAGTGTGTGTGTAGAAGGAAAATCGGAGAGACTACAAAGAGCTGTGACATGAATGTTATAGCATGTACAGCAACTGGTCAAAATAGACCAGAGGCCTAGACGTAAACCTTAAAGCTATAAAACATTTAAAAGAGAAGGTAGAAAAGAAATCCTTGTGGCCTTAAACTAATCAACTCATGTGACAGCAAAAGCAACATCTTTTAAAAATAATAAATTGGGCAGGGCAGTGGTGGTGCTCACCTTTAATTCTAGCACTTGGGAGGCAGAGGCAGGCAGATTTCTATGAGTTCAAGGCCAACCTGGTCTACAACGTGAGTTCTAAGACAGCTACAGCTGTTACATAGAGAAACCCTGTCTCGAAAAACTAATATATACATATAATACATACATCTATAAAGATATTATATATGTACGTTATATATATGTATATATACATATATATATATATTGGATTTCACCACAATGAAGGACATACATCCTTCAAAGCGTAGCTAGGAGGATGAAATGATATGCCATAGCCTGATGGGAAATACTGGCAAACCACATAATATATAAAAGGACCCTCAAACATCAATAATAAAAAAAACAACCTAATAGTGGGATGGGGACACAGGCCAATTTGATGAGGATGGTGGCAGTTGTGAATGGAGAGGTAGGCAGGCGGAATTAGTGTGAAGGGGAGCAGGGGCTGCCTGATAGTGACAGGCCGCTCACACCACTAGTTGTATTTTGTACATACACATATTATGTAGAGTTTTGATACATACAACAATGGACCAAATTGTACATCAAATAGGTCCATCTATTTTCTGTCAGTCATACCTTGATAGCTCCCATTAATAAATTATAAAGGAGCTCATGTGTTCCTTTTTGGTTTTCCTTTTGATGTGTGTTTTGTTTTGTCTTTTACCTTTTTGTGCTTTCTCTCCAAATTCTGTATTAATTTTAAAATACCCTATTCTGTGCTGATATATATGACAGTCTTAGCAAATTCCTTTTATAAGATGCAGAAGCAGAACACTGCTATCTTTGAGGCGTCCTGAGATGTGGTGTTTAAAGACTGCGGAAGCCTCTTCCTCTTTGTCCGGTTAACACCCTTGTGAAGAGCTGGTGAGCTGTCTCAGCCAGCAAAGGTACTTGCTTCCACCCCACGACCCGAGGACCCGAAGAGCACTGGGAGAGAATGGACTGCAAGTTGTTCCTTGACCTCCACATGTGCTGTGGTACGTGTGTGTGGATGTATGTACATGTACACACACACACACACACACACTAAATACATAAATAGTAAACAATTTCAAAAGAAAACTAAAGTTCACCATGAAGAGGCAGTCCCTAGAATGTGATTTCTACTCCACTGTGGTCAGAATTTCTGCTACATTGTCTAATATCATTCATTCACTCATTCATTCATTTATTCCTCCACCAAATGTGTATCTGTGACAGGATTTTAAAATACAAGGCTTAAATAGTAAATTTATTTGAGCAACTGGGTGTAGCTGTGGTTTATGTATTACATGAACCTCTACTAATGTTAAATGCAGAATTCTGACATCTGGGTGGTTTGATTTTATTTGACATATTATCCTTTAAAAAAGTGCCAAATGCCTCCACGAACTTCTATATCTGGAAATATTAATGAAATTGAGTTCTTGTTTAGAGAACTAAATTTTCTGAGTTGTATCATTTGGTGTGTGAATTCCTGAGTGCAGCGGGAGTGGAGGCCACTGCCCAGCCCAGCCCAGCCCAGCCATCTCTTATTCCGGGATTTCTATTTCTTCATATACAAAGCTCTAGTTGAAGATTTATTTACTTTTTTCTCCTCCGGCAAGGAAGATTCCTGCCCTTTTTAATTTCCTTTTCTTGGGCATGTTACAAATATCCTCCCTGGTTTCTTTGGATCTATTGTAGCGGAGCCAATTCTTCATTCTCTCTTCCTCTCACCTGCTTCTGCCTACTTATTTGTGTATAGGATGTCAAAGGAAAGCCAAAGGCAACACCTCACAATGCCATCTGAAAAAAACGAAAATGCCAACACATTCTTTTCTGCACCTGAAGCTTTTAATTCTTTAATCCATCGTGGAATGTTGCTTAATTACATATTTTATTATGCAGAACTGAGACTGATGTACTTTAGTTTCCAAAATGATCTGAAAGCATACAGGCTGTTTTAAAGAGAAGTTGGTTTGCTCTGGTTTTCTCTTACACATATTTGTGGGGTTCTCCTGGGGTTTCCTATTACTACTTGACTTTTTGAAAATTCTCAGAAAGCTCTGGAGAAAAAAAAATTTAAATTTCCTCTAGAAATAAGATTCATTACTTGGCAAAAATGTAACATGCTGTTGTATTGTGGGCAAATACATGGGTCAGCTAAGCTCCTATTGTTGATACTTTGTTTTAATTTCAGTGAATTTCATAAAGTATTAGTAGAAAAATGTTAAATTTGTTAAGGATGGTTCTAGAGTTCATTTGCTTTTCTTTTCCATGCTTTCTTTGTGGGTTTTGTTTGTTTTTTTCTTTTTTTTGTTTCCATTTTTTTTAATTAATTTATTTATTTATTAAAGATTTCTGCCTCCTCCCTGCCACCGTCTCCCATTTCCCTCCCCCCCCCCCAATCTACCCCCCCTCCCTCATCAGCCCAAGAGCAGTCAGGGTTCCTTGCCCTGTGGGAAGTCCAAGGACCTCCCACCTCCTTCCAGGTCTAGTAAGGTGAGCATCCAAACTGCCTAGGCTCCCACAAAGCCAATACGTGCAGTAGGATCAAAAACCCATTGCCATTGTTCTTGAGGTCTCAGTAGTCCTCATTGTCCGCTATGTTCAGTGAGACAGGTTTTAACCCAGGCTTTTTCAGACCCTGTCTAGCTGGCCTTGGTGAGTTCCCGATAGAACATCCCCATTGTCTCAGTGTATGGGTGCACCCCTCGCGGTCCTGAGTTCCTTGCTCGTGCTCTCTCTCCTTCTGCTCCTGATTTGTTTTTCAAGACAGGATTTCTCTGTAGCTTTGGAACCTGTCCTGGAACTAGCTCCTGTAGATCAGGCTGGCCTTGAACTCACAGAGGTCCACCTGCCCCTGCCTCCTGAGTTCTGGGATTAAAGGCGTGCGCCACCACCACCACCACCACCCAGCTACTTTTTTTTTCCTGCAATTTTCCTAATAGTTAATGAAAAAAATGATGTGTTTAGCTCTCATGCATATGAAGGCAGCAGAATTTGAGGTTATTATTCCAGGGTGAAACATACTTGATTTACATCAGTGTTCAACTTTCTCTTTTAGCAAAACACATGTTGCTTTGTATCCATGTAAGAACTGAATTGCAGTGTGTTTGAAAAATTTATTGAGAAAATGGAAGAACTGGATTTGAGGTTAATGTGACCACTTTGTAGCTGGGCAAGTCAGTTAACCTATTTGAGCTTTCCTTGTTTGCTTGTCTTTTAAGTGGGGATGTTAGTGTCTGCATGCTCTAAGTGCCTCCTAGTGGGATGGAGAGCTTTAAATGAGACACTGTGGTGTCTTACAAAATGAAGAACTCTTCAAATGTTGCTGTCTGTTTAAGCACACTGAGGGACAATGCCAGCGGAGTCCTCAGCAGGTAGTTAAAAGTGCAAACAAGTGTGGGGAGACACACTTGCTCCGCACGGAGATGCTGATCAACAGTCTGCCCTGAACAGAATGCTCCAGAGGAATGCATTGACACACACCTTTAAGAACGCGCACTTGAACATCACCCAGCAGGCAGTGTCAGATCTCTCAGGAGAGGAAAACCAGATAGCAATAGACATCACTTCTTTCTTCAAAGATGGTAGGGCTTGATTAAAGACTGTCACTAGAATGAAGACTTATCTGAATGCATTTCTTACTGAGCTCTCAGTAAAGAAATAATGTTCAGCATTTAACTTGGTGCAAAAGAGATCGTTTTGCAGTTTCTCTGCTCTTTCCTTGCACACACCCCACCGCATCTTCCACTAGCCACCATTAAAGACAAGTCCAAGACAAGTGCTTCGGCTACAGTTAGGTGTATTAGCAGCTGGGAGTGGCCCACAGGAAAAGATGACTTTATCCTCATCTTTGACACGAGGATTAGGTGTGAATGTTAGTAGTGTTCTTCTCATAAAGTTAAATGTGCTGTGTGCATGTGTGTAAATACACACCCACATAGAGGAACAGAAGAAAGGCTTAACAATGCTGCTCGCATTTTAAACATTAATTCCAAACTATTTTTATTAACATGGATTAATATGGTATTGTTAAACAGGTATCGTATTCTTGACAAACACCTTTCACCACATTTCGTATGAGGGCACTTTATATCAAAAATTGTGCGTATTAGTAGATTGTAGCTCAACTTTCGTCTAAAGACATGCAAGTATCCACTATTTACATTTAGAGGATTTTTCAGAAGGAGCACTGAGAATTCCTTTCACTAACATTTTGGATGGCTCCTGCTTTGGAGCCGCTGTTCCCACCCTGCCATCCACATTCTGGCTGGCGTTAGCACAGTAGACTCATCCCCGTTGCTATAATACAGGCCATACACATTTTAATTGCTCTTGTTGAAAATATCACCAGGCAGTTCATAGTATCTCATTTATTGAAAATATTGTGACAATCAAGGATCTTGTCATCAGCCACATGAGAACAATTGGGACTACGGAAGAATTAGATATAGTATGCGTGGGACACTTGTGTCAGGACAATCCTGAACCGCTGGAATTTTTTCTACTCAAGCTATGTAGTTCAGATAAGCATAGTCAACTATAGATATACTAGGGGTGGACGCCAGCTCAGAAGGTCTTCGTACTAAACACCAGTCAATACACATTTTGTACATATGTACAGACTTTGTTACGAAGTGCAACACAGTAGGGCACACACATTTTCAAAGGTGACGTGTCAGCCCTGCACGTTGTGTGGCAGGAAGATACGATCAACATCATTTTTTGCATAATATGCAAGTATTATATGGCCACAGAGTGTCATACAAATTAGTGGCAAAGTGCTGAGTGAAGGGATCCATGACAGACTCGGATGCACACAGCTGAGTATTACTCGTAAACTACCTCACTCTGAAGCACTATGTCATGCCCAGTGTGTACACATCTCCGGAATACTGGGACACAATGAAGCTTGCTAAAGAAATTATCAAGAGCCGTGAGCAGCAGGAAGGAGAGACATGGGTTACAATGACATTGGGGGGCAACATGGGCTACTAGGAGACATCTTCCAAAATGTGCAGTCTTCAACAATTCTGCACACTCCATCATGGCCCCATTTGCTAACATGTGCTTTATCGTAAAATAACAAAACCATGCAGACCATAAATGTAAAAGATCTGATAATTTTGCTGGCACAATGGTGTTGCTTTCCAACACAATCATTTCCTAGAAGAGATCTTCCCAAATACTACCAAATTCTATTCCTATTTGATGTCCTAAGTATGGGGCTGTTTAAAATGAAAAAAAAAAAAAAACCGACATCAATTTCTCTGATCCTCTGCTGACTCTTTTAACTTGGGGAAGAGGAGGACGTGGGCGACAATCTTTAGTTAGTGAAATGCTATTTTTTTTAAACATTTGAAATTTAGCTTACAGTATCTTGATTCAAATGCCTTTGGCTCACGTGATTACTTTTCTGAACTCCAGCAAACAAGGTAGTTTGCATTGTTTTCTCACCTAACAGAAAGAATTGAAATTAGCTTTCAACAGGCAGCAGCCTTCTGCATGGCTCAGATGTGTTTCCCACTGGAGCGGTAGAGGAGTTTCCATGCAGTCCCCCCCCCCCCCATGAGGAAATGCTCTTCAGGAAAAGGGTAGCTCAGAGCCCTGGCTCCACGAACCCAAATACCCCAATTAACACTTAGGGGACCTAACAAAGGGCTACAAGAGACAAACAGATAAGAAAATTAACAAAAAAAAAAATTTTTTTTTTCAGAGCACAATACTCTTTGCTTGCACCCAGCCTGCCACTGGGATGTGGTGCAGCAGTTTAGAAGATGGTGTTTGGATTCTAGCAGGGTTACTCTTACTTTCTTCATGTAGATACATTTTGACTAGGAGGCCAAATGAACTCAAGGTATTGTACCTTTCCTACTTATCATGTGTCGAATAAATCGAAACAAAACACCCCCTCCCCCAGAATGCTTAATATGAAGGGTTCTCACACAGTTCTGGTTGTTCCCTTATTTATATTATTAATGGTATTGAAAAACACCCCATCTTAAAGAAAACTATTGCCATAATTGGAGGATCGTGAGAAAAAAGCAGATATAGCCATTCCAAGTACTTAATTGCTAGAGTAATTCATGTTTCTGTTGGAGTCTTTGTCCTGTATAGTAAGCAAAACTAATTATCATCTGCATTGTGAAATTTCATACCTGCTTAAAACTGAGCATGTGTGACTTGAACTTGGTGATCCGGGTGAGTGTGCAGTAGTTCTTTTACAGGTTATCAAGAGCATGCGTGCACCTACACGACACACCGCCCTTGAGCTTGGTCACATAAGCAGACGAACCCTGCCATGGCATACCATACAAACAATTTTAATCGTGTAGTTACAGTCAATAACCACTCCTAATAAGCACATTTCTGCATAAAGAAAATTGTGATACACTTATAAAAACAGCAGCTGTAACAAAATAGCTGGTGTTTTCATAGTCATAAACTCATAAAAAAAGAAATACACCTTTATACAGAAATTTTATACA